AGGGGACTTGGGACAGCTGGGGTTCGGGACCTTCTCATAAATTCTTCCCTCCTTCAGCCACGTCTAAAGTGGCCAAAAAATATTGGATATTTAAAGTGGCCAAAAAAAAATGGAATAAAACAGAAAAATGTAAGTGTTGCAGCTCTGAGGGGAAATTCCCAATGCACGTTTTGTAGCTCTGAGGGGAAAGACTTCCCCAATGGAAGTGTCACAGCTCTGAGGGGAGAGGTTTCCCTTGTGTGTTACAGCTCTGAAAAGGTATCTTGGCAGCCAGGAGCCAAGGAATACCACAGAGTCACACCACACAACAAACCTCACACAGGGCATTTATTGGGAAAGACGCTAGAGTGACTGCCTCTGCTTGGGAGAGAAGCAGCAAAGAACTTAACAGGAGGCAGGCTTATATAAGTTTTTTGGGGGAAGAGTTTCCAGAGTGGAAAATTTCAGGGTAGCGATTAGTGAAATTTCAAACCAAGCCCAGGGATTGGTGGGATTACATGCCCACACCCAGAGGGGGGCTCAGAACTCTCTCACCCTACCAAGAAACAAGGCTACTTGATTTCTCACAAAGATGCAAAAAATACACATTGGCGAAAAGACAGTCTCTTCAACAAATGGTGCTTAGAAAAATAGATGTATACATGCAAAAGAATAGAACTGGATCCTTATTTTCACTCTGCAAAAAAGCAGCTAATATGGATCAAGGACCTCGAACTCCTTCCTGAAATGCTGACCTGCATAGCTGAGAAAGCAGGGAGCATCTTTCAGGATAGAGGTACAGGGAAGAACTTTCTGAGCAGGACTCTGATGGCCCAGGAAGGCCAACTATCAGTCATGCATTGTCATGAAATTAAAAGCAGGAGCAGAGGAAATTGACAATCAAATTAAAGGACTGCATATAGATTGGGAGAAAATCTTTGTAAGCTATAGATTTGACAGGACATTAATATATAGAATATACAAAGAACTCAATAAACTAAACGTAAAGAAAACACACAGCCCAATCTGCACGGACTACAGAGAATTCTCAAGAAACACAAATGGAGCCAGGCCACCTTTAATCCCAGCACTCCGGAAGCAGAGGCAGATGAATCTCTGAATTCGAGGTCAGGCCTGGTCTACAGAGCAAGTTCCTGGACAGTGAGGGCTACACAGAGAAATCCTGTCTTGAAAAACCAAAACCAAACCAAACCAAACCAAACAAAAACAAACAAGTAAACAACATCAAAAATCCCCACAAATCTCCTTAGACACCAGGGAAATGAACCCCACAAATCTCCTTAGACACCAGGGAAATGAACATTAAAACAACTTTGAGATTCCATTCCACCCCATTCAGAATTGCTGTTTATCAAGAAAACAAAATACAAATACTGGCAAGGTGTGGGAAAGGAGGGACCCTTTCCCCGCTGTGAAGGGAGTGTAAACTGGCGCAGGCACTATGGAAGTGGTGTGGAGGTTTCTCTAAAGCTGGAAGTGGAACTACTGTATGACCCAGTCGTATGGCTTCCTGACATATTTCCTAAGGGTTCCATATCCTGCTATAGACACACTTGCACACCCACATTTACTGTGGTTCTATGCAAAGCGGCTAGGACACGGAATCAGAGGAGATAGATGATATCCACCAATTGTTGCATGGGCAATGAAAATGTGGTATATGTACACAACGGGATTTTATTCATCTGGAAAGACGAATATAATTTGCAGGAAAATGACCAGTGAAATATTGTGCTAAGTGAGGTAACCCAGGCCCAGATGGACACGTGCCACATGGATGTGAGTTTCAAATTTATATATTTATTATTTATGTGGAGTGTCTGTAGATGTCAATGAGCCAGAAAGGTCCTGTAGGAGGGGGAGGGAAAGAGGCCTCAGTGTGGGAGGGGATGGTAGACCATGTGATTTGAAAGCAGAGGGAGGGTGCTGGAGAGATGGCTCGGAGGTTAAGAGCATTGTCTGCTCTTCCAAAGGTCCTGAGTTCAATTCCCAGCAACCATGTGGTGGCTCACAGCTATCTCAGGCATACACACAGACAAAATATTGTATACATAATAAATAAATAAGTATTTTAAAAAAAGAAAGCAGAGGGAGAATACGGGAATTTAGGGGGTAGGAAAGGGGAAGGGTGAGTTAACAAAACTAGTGATGTATGGAAAAAGCCTTATGGAAATCCAATATGTTGTATATTAATTAAAGATAATTTTAAAGAAGGGTTTTGAATGGAAGGCTAACAACATTAAGAAGTTTAATATTAAGAACGTCTCCATTCATTCCTAGCACCTGGGAAGCAGAGGCAGGAGGAACGCATGTGTGAACCAGCCCGGACAGCCTAGGAAGTTTTAAGTCAGCCAGGATTTCATGATGAGACCTTCTCTCAGAATCCTCATCACCCTGACCAGGGGACACAGCTCAGTTGGTAGACTCTGAAGTGGAGACACACTGTTAGGAGACAGACACAATCGACCTGGTGCGTGAGTGTTGCTGTGAACCTTGAATCTGTAAAAACGCAATTATCTCTAAATCAAGATGATTAACAAAGGATGCTAAACCTGATCCCCAGAGATCTATTCTATTCAAGGATTCTTCTGTGCTGAGTATGGCAGATTTCTTACCTGTTTCCAGCTTGCCAGAACAACTTATGGCTAAATTACTAATGGATGATAATTCCGTCCTTATATAAAATGTGTGGAGATTCTTTTAATATGTTGAACAGACTTAGCTTGGAGCCAGGTGTATAGTTTGGCGGTACAGGGCTTCCGTTGCACCTCAGAGGCTCTGGGTTCCGACCCAGATGGCAAGAACTTGGCTGAATTGCTTCTATTTGTTCTTCCCTAGACCTGTGATTTACTTTCTTCAGAGAGCGTTTTTTTCTCATCACCTGTACTAAGGGCAGAGAGGAGGGTGTGTGGTGCTTCCCTCTGCACTTCCCATCTAGTCCTTTTTAGTAGTCACTTCCTGAGCCCAGGGTTGGAGTTTTCTTGGCTAGGTTGAAAGCCAGCAAGCCTCCTTGATTTTTCCTGTCTCTGCCCACCTTGAAACTGGAGTTTAAGGCATCTGTGAGATGCCTGGTTTGTTATGTGGGCGCTGGGTTCTGAACTGTACTGCTTAGGATTGCTCAACAAGCACTCTAACCGCTCCAAGTGGCCATCTCTCCAAGACCACTTATATTTCAAGAGACGGATGAAATGAAAAGAGTTGTACAAAGCCCTGTTTTGTGAATCCATTATATCCAGGCATTGGATTTCCTTGTTCTTGAGTCTCTGAGAATGGAGCAATGACAACCAGTGTTAGAAGAAGGTGGCAAAACCCATCTCTTTTGCAGCCTGCTCCTATGCAGGAGAAGCCAGCTTGTAGGGCTCAGGTACCGGGTAGGGCGGTGATGCTCAAGCTACGTTAGGTTCAAGGACCAAAGAGGTCCTCCAGGTAGTGAAGTGGGCCAGGCGGGCAATCCTGAGGGCTGGTGGAGAGGTTTGGCCTTGTCAATCCAGAGGCGAGCCAGAGTGGGCGTGGCTACGGAGGGCGTGGTATAAGGGCAGGCGGGGTGCAAGGGGAGGGCTTGGCGCTAGGGAGGGTTGTAACGCTGGGGAAGGTTAGGGCGGAGACAAATGGGGCGGAGCCCGGGGCGAGGGCAAGGCTTAATAGGGGAGAAGCTGAGCGGGAGAGGGCGGTGCTAAATGGGAAGAGCTGTGGGGACGAGGGCGGGACTAAGGGGCGGAGCTAAGCGCGAGGAGGTAGGGGCGGGGTCGGGCGAGGGCGGAGCTCAGAGGGGCGGGGCCTGATCTTTTCCAGCGGCCAGGCTGGTGTTCGTACGCAGGTCCTTGCTTGGCAGCTGAAGGGCCGCCTCGGGGCTCGAGGCGAGGGCTTCTTTCGCTTCCCCGGGCCATGGAGCGGCTGACGTTGCCTCCCGGCGGCGCGGCGGCGGTTGACGAGTACCTAGAGTACCGGAGGTGAGGCCTTAATCTGCTTCCCGGGGCGGACTCCGTTCCCGGCTGAGTCTCTCGTCGTAGGAGCACAGTGGGGCGAGCAGGGATCCCGCAAGAGCTTTAGGGTTCCGGGACTCCGTTCCTGGGCTGTTCGGGAGGCCTGGATTAATTTCACATTTTCACTTCTGTAATTAAATATGCCGACAGACGGTTCTATACTTGAATGAGTCTCTTCCAAGACCTCTTGAGTCTCACCTGATAAGGGGTGATTAACGACTTTTATAGTGGGTCCTTTTTTGTTTTTCTTAGTAACAGTTGAAGCAGTCGGGACCTATAAAAGTTAGTAGACGTCAGTTTGCACATTTAATTCAGTGATGGGTAAGGCATGAACTGATGAATGCACTTCCAACCCTAGGGAGATGGTTTTAGGACTTGGTTTCAGAGATTTCTCTCCGAAGCAGGGGCCACAGCTGCTTGCTTCTTTGGCTCAAGGTTGCACTAAGGCTAATACATCAGCCTCCAAGTTCCTCTCTCCTAAGTTTCATTTTGGCAGTTGGGAAACTGGGAAAATGGGGTTTACAGACGACTTGTCAGGAGTATGTGTGGGAACAAAAGAAAGGCTAGAAGTGTGGTGCTTCCCCCAAGTCATTTGGGGGCATCTCTCTAGGCAGTTGGGTTTCCCGGCATACTGCTGTATTGGTGTAGTAATGTTTAGAACTTTCTGAAGATTTTCAACAGGAAATCTGAGATGTAACAGCTTGATCATTCTAAATTTGAGATGTAACAGCTTGATCATTCTATCTGTCAGGTTTCTAATGCTATGATAAAACACCACGGTCGAAAGCAACTTGAGGAGAAAGGGGTTGATTTCATTTACAGCTTGAAGTCCATCATCTGGGGAATTCAAGGCAGGAGCTAATGCAGTGCCCATGGAGGGGTGATGCTTGCTTTGCAGCTCAGGGCTTGCTCAGCCTGCTTTATTTATTTATTTATTTTTTATTATTTTTATTTTTATTTTTTAAAAGAACTATCAAGTCCTGTTTGTTTATTTATTTATTTATTTATTTATTTATTTATTTATTTATTATGTATACAATATTCTGTCTGTGTGTATGTCTGTAGACCAGAAGAGGGCACCAGACCCCATTACAGAAGGTTGTGAGCCACCATGTGGTTGCCAGGAATTGAACTCAGGACCTTTGGAAGAGCAGGCAATGCTCTTAACCACTGAGCCATCTCTCCAGCCCCTATTTTTTATTTTATTTTATTTTATTGCACCCTAGACACTGCCTAGGAGTGGCACTGAGCACAGTGAACTGGGCCTTTCTACATCAATCAGCAAACAAACCACAGGCTTGCCCACAGGCCAATCTAGTTGGGGGCATTTTCTCAATTGAGATTTTATATTTCTATATGATTCTCAAGTTGGCGTCAAACTAGCTAGCACACAGTCTTCATGGCAGGTCTACCCATCACATATTTACCCTCTTACCTCTAGCGGGGCTGGCGTACCTCTAGCGGGGCTGGCGTCATTCCTTTTGGCTCTCTGGCTTTTCCCTGGAGGAAGTCACTTGATCCTGAGGCTGACCGAATGAAGACTTACATATTTACAAACATGGATTGGACTTTCACTTTTCTCTTGTCCAGAAAATGCTAGGGACAGGCTCATGGGAAATTATTTGTGCAAGCGTAAGTAGCATGGGACATGTCCCTTTAAGAGAGGTTATCATGTCCTTTAACCATCAGCAAGCTTTGAGAGACATGAGGACTTGGGCTCCTAGATATAAAAGGGCTATATGGGGGAGGCTCCCGAAACGATCTCCATCAGAAATAAACTTTCCAACGGTCAGTGGCTGACATTTCAACCCAGAGGGCAGTGAGTTCAAGGTCAGTCAAAACCACGTGTGGAGAACCTGCTGAAAAACTGAGGACTGAGATGTAGCTCAGTGGTAGAACCATTGCCTAGCACTTGGGAGGCCTGGGTTCTGCAAACACAGAAAAAAATACCAAATGAAGGCTTCTTCGCAATTTTCTTTAATTTTGACTTAGCTTGGGTGGGAGGCGTCTGGAGGGAGTATACAGTCTTCCTACTCAAAGTGTCAGAAGGTGGGTCCACTGGTATCCCGCCTCACCTGGGGCTTACTCAGACTCAGTGACTGAGTTCTGCAGTGAACCAGAGACACTGGAGACGATGGATGTACAATAAAGTCTGAGTGCTCAGGTTGGAAATGTAAACACCAGCATTCTCTTTAAAGGTCTGCATTTGACTTAAGAGCTTTCTGGTACTCCTGATATTCTTTGATGGCTATCTCAAATAAGTTCATTATTAAGAACTATTGTGTGTATCTAGAATGTTTAAGCAAAGAAGAGAAAAATCAAAAGAATAAAGGAGAGAGCCAGAGGGTGAGCATTTGGGAAGAGGAAGGACTGAGCACAGGCAATGGACACAGGAGTGAAAGAGGATGGGACAAAGCTGTTTTTCTAGTCCTGACTCTGTCATAGACTTTTTTGTTTTCTTGGCAGATAAGTGTATAGAAATATATTCCATGCTGTAAGTATAACATCTAATGTGAAGCTCACAGCTTCGGAAAGGGCATTCTAACATTGTATCTTTGGGGCTGGTTAATTTCAGTGTGTGAAATTTTATTTGCCAGTTTATTAAAAAAAAAAGATTGTGTTGATTGTATAGCTTATAAATTGGGGTTTCATTTTCTCTTCTTCCCTTCTTCTTCTTCTTCTTCTTCTTCTTCTTCTTCTTCTTCTTCTTCTTCTTCTTCTTCTTCTCCTTCTCCTTCTTCTTCTTTTTTTTTTGTTGTTTGTTTTTTAAGACAGGGTTTCTCAGTGTAGTTCGGGCTGTACTGGAACTTGCTTTGTAGATCAGGCTGGCTTTGAACTCCGATTCTGCCACCTGCCTCTGCCTCTTGAGTGCCGTAATTAAGAGCATTTGGGTTTCGATTTTCTACTGCAACCAGCTGTTTCAAAGCATGGAGAAGTATGTAATGTACAAAAAAATCACATAAACATTCTATAAATAACACGTCAGCCAAGATGTAAAATAAGTAAATAAATTTATTTAAAGAAGAAATTAAAGGGAGATATTTTCAAAGAGAAATTTCTTCCGCTATGAACAATTGAAAATTTTTTTAATTGTATTTTTTCTTTCTTCTAGCAAAGCAATTTTCCCCCATAGAAATAGTTTTCTTTTTCATAAGATTTTGGAATCATATGAAACTTCAAAACGTCTGATCACCCATTATATACCATGACTTTGAGCTTGTGTAAATCAAAACATTTCAAGGTTTTCAGAGCTCACATGACTTTCAGCTTCTGTCCAGAGGTCAGGTAGGCCAAAATGTTATGTTGACTTCTGCACTGATAGAGTTTTAATTTTAGGTACTATTTCATTGGTTTGTTTTGGTTTTCTTTTGAGACATGGTTTCTCTATGTAGCCCTGGCTATCCTGGAACTTGCTCTGTAGACCAGGGTATCCTTGAACTCACAGAGATCTGCCTGCCTCTGCCTCCCGAGAGCTGGGATTAAAGGTGTGAATTAAAGTACTGTTTTAAAAGGGTGAAAACATAACTTTTAGAAGTTTAAGCTCAAGATTTGCATTTTCTCCAGACAGGGGCTTGCTGTGTATTTCAGGCTGGCCTCTAATTCATCTTCCTGCCTTAGCCATTTCATATGGATTTTGGGAGGACACCACATCTGGTTTCAGATCTAGCTTTTAATGAATGAATGTTTGTTTCAGAATTAAGGAGAGCCTGAGATGAGTAGTGATGACCACTGATAGACCTTGATCAGTGTAGAGTCCCCTTTCTGCTGCTGTGATGAAATGCCATGAGCAAGAGAAGTTGAAGAAGGAAGGATTTGTTTGGGCTTATGGTTCCAGAGGGGTTAGAGTCCATTATGGCGGGGATTATGGCATGGTGGCAAGAACAGGAAGGTGGCTGACCATTTTTTGTCCGCACACAGGAAGCAGAAACAGACAGAACAGGAAGTGGAGAAAAGCTATAATCTCTCAGTGCTGGCTTTGAGCAATGTACTTCCTCCAGCATGAGTGCACCCCTAAAGGTTCCATGATGTCACCAAACAGTCCCACCAACTGAAGACCAAGTGTGCAGATACAAGAACCTATGGGGACATTTCTCAGTCAGACCACCACAATCAGTGAAGTCATGTTTAAAAATTGTTACCTACAATCTTCTATATGGGAAGAGAATGTAGAAAAGATTTCTTTCTTCAGACATCCCTGGGTTCATGGCAAAAGTGCCTAAAATAAAAGGAAGATTGACAAGGGAAACACTTACAGAGTCAAGTTTATGTGGCATGGGAGTGAAAAAATAATAAACACACAGGAAATACTGTAACTTTATGCTTAGGTTTATGGAATGGGGACCAGCCAGAGAGAAACATGACCTAAGAACAGCAAGGTATGACCTAATGGCAATGAACTGGGGAACTTAGCAAAGCCTGTGTGTGTAGATCCATCTGTAAGTATGTGGGTGGAAGGAGGCTCCTCCTGGAACAAGGGGTAGGTCCTGTTTCAGGGAAGGATATTTGGGAAGGTGAGAGTAGCAGTCCTGCTTTGACTATTTGTTCAAGAAGGTGCTTGCCAAGTGTCGGGGGAGGTATGGTACACCCTGAACTCCATCAGAAGCAGCAGTTTTATTGTTACCGTTTGCAGTTTGACTATGTATTTGTGTTGAAAGGAAAAAATCCAAAGTCAAAGCTACTTTTCATTTAAATATACAAGAATAATTTAATTTTAGAGTTTAGTATTTTGGGCCTGGAAAATTTTCAGGGTTATAAGAATACTTTTTGTTGTAGAATTGTTGGTGAGGACGATGGAGGGAAACTGTTTACTCCTGAGGAGTATGAAGAGTACAAGAAAAAAGTCTTACCCATGCGTTCACGGAACAGGTTATTTGTGAGCTGGCGGTCACCAACAGGAATGGACTGTAAACTGATCGGCCCCGAGACACTGTGTTTTTGTACACATAGGTAAGATATTGCATCATTTATTTTAAAAAAATTATTTTTACTTATGTATATGTGTGTGTCTGGGTGGATATGTGCACGTGAGTGCAGGTGCCTTTGAAGCCAGAGGCGTCAGATATGCCTGGAGCTGGGGTTACAAATGGTTGTGAGCCACCTGAGAGAGGTGCAGGGAAGGGGATTCTGCAGGAACAGTGGGCACACTCAACTGATGAGCTGTCTCTCCAGCCTATTTTAGCGCTTGTTAATGAAAATGAAAGTTACGGCAAATACATGTCTTCCTCCTATAAATAACATTGTGATGATTAAGAAGCATTTGATGCCAGCATTTACATAATGCACTAGGATTATGTAAAGGTTTTTAAACGTATAAGAAACCCCCGTACTGTGTTAAAACTCATCACAGGGTCTGTCACCATGAACAACTCTTATTTTGCCATTGGCAAAACCAGAGGATGGTGTTTGTCCAGAGGTCTTTCGGTGTGGTGAAGGTAGCACCTACTGGTCCTATTATTAAAAAAATAGGACATGGGGTCACACTGACCCCCGCTGGTCAGACTACTCATCCACCAATAGACCCATTTCTCAGGATTACGAATCACTCTTTATATTCGCGGGGAGCTGGGTTGGTGTTTTCCACGTTGTATTTGTTGGCTCAGTTCTTTGTGAGAGGGTTCCATTATGCAGTCCAGGCTGGCCTGGAACTTGCTGTGCAATCATCCCACATAGCCTCAAACTCATGCTTCTCCTGTTTGCCGGCTGCTGGGATGACAGGTGCGACCACCATACCTCGCCCCTACCTTGACCTATATTGAAGAAAATACAAATTCTTCTGACTTCAAATGGCTGTGTTCAAGAACATCATTGAGAGAAGAGACGTGAGGGGTCAGTCATGATGTGTGTTGTTTGTGTTGTTGTGCATACATTCCTTCAGATTGTTCTACCATCTCACAATTGTAAATAGCAAAATGACCAACGTGCGTTGTAAAAAGTACAAAATGAAAAATCCACCGAACCTAGTACTTTTTCTTAGGGACCAGGTTTGACTTTTTGTTCTAAGGAATCCATTGAAGGGGAACCGCCCTGCTTCAACAGCAACCTGCGAGGCTCTTTCTGAGAGACTCTTTGTCTAGTTGCTATTTACAGAGTTGTAGTTTGCCAGAAGTTGTTAGGCAGTTGCTAGGATGAGTAATGTGTGTAGATTGGATTTAGACTTACCTAGAAACCATAACCAAAAGCACTGTGGAGGACTGGAGGATGATGGGTACATGTTGATATCTGTCAAAACTGAAGGGGTTGGGCAAATGTGTGGTAGTCTTATGATGTATGCTTGTGAATGTCTAGTGCCAGTTTCTGTGTGGAATTTGTGCGGTCTGGAAATGACCCTCGAAATCCAACCCAATGATGATGAAGAAATTTCTCTGTGGTATTCCTCACTTAATGAATTCCTATCTCACACATGTTTTTCTGTTTATAAAAGTGAAACATGGTTATTAAGAGAAACAGGGCATATATAGAAAGTAGAACACTCACCACCCGAAGCCTGCTGCTGTTAGTGCTTCCCATTTTGCCTGTATAATTTCTCTTTACAGTGTTCACTTAGTTGTATTCTGTGCATTCATAAAACAACACTGTCTTTTCACGATCGAATCACAGGAAATGTGCATGCGTGTGGCTATTAGCAATCTCAAGGCAGGTCTCAAATAACTAGTCCATGTCTCAGCTAGTCCACTGTTGTTCTCCGAACTGTGAGTGAGACTCCAGGGGTGCCAGGCAGAAAGGCAGGTTATAGGAGTGGAGACTCCAATTGCTGTTCTTCCCTTGGCTTTAACCAATCTAAATTCTAAATATTTTATATATATAGTATTGTGATTCTCTGGTTTTCTTTTGTCACTCTCTTTAGATAAAAAAAACTGCTCTCTAGTAATGGATTTGTCCATTCTCTTTTTGCCTATTATACATAAATATCTACTAGTATGTGTACTATTGCCAACACTGCCTTTATGTGAAACCCTTATCTATATGTGAAATTATTTACTTGAGGTGTGTTTTCCAAAATTAATTTCTAGGGTAAGAGGATGGAATTTTTAAAGTTTCTTGAAACACCAAATGGAACTGGTTGTTTTGTCATAATCTCTTTTCAAAAACTTTTCAAAAACAAAAAAAATGATTTTTTATTATTTTATGTGTATGCAAAACCAAAAACACACAACTTAAAATACCTTATCAATACCATTACTTCATTTTGATGTTGAAAGTTAAAAATTAAATTATAGTTAAGGAACTATCATTAATATTTTATTAAATTTGTTTTAGGTTTAGATAGCAAAGCATAAAAATAAATTTAAGTGATGTACTTTGATGAAAACCATTCTTTTTAAAAAACCTTACATTTATATTAATTCATTCATTGTGTATGTGTGGGTATATGTGTACATGTGTGAGGTCAGTGGGTCCAGAAGAACAAACTCAGGACAGTAGGCTTTGCAGCAAGTCCCTTCACCCACTGAGGCATCTCTCAGGCCCTCTTAGTTTCTTGGTGTGTTAGGACACTCATTGTCTTGTGCATAGCACACAAATGCTCTACCTACCTAACCTTACAAATTTCATATAATTTTACTCTCTCTCTCTCTCTCTCTCTCTCTCTCTCTCTCTCTCTCTCTCTCTCTGTGTGTGTGTGTGTGTGTGTGTGT